GTCACACTTACAAAATTCTGTTAACTTATGCTGGTCGATTGTAATTTACGAAGGCAGAAATTTTGTGTTTTGTATCAGTTGATGCACAAGAATGGGCGCTCACATCATCAGTCAGACATATATAATTATTTCATTTTGTTTGACTAACAAGGAGTACATGCATACTGAAAATTTGACCTGTGCAATAACTAACTAAGTAGACCGACACAGCCAAGGGAAGGCATATAATTAAGCTGCTAGCTAGAGCTTTGTCTGAGTTTAGTAAATACTGAAAATAATAGTCAAACAATACATATGTCCGCGCCTTCATGTTAATTCCTTGACAAAGTTTGTGAAATGGACTATATACTGGATCGATGCACCCTCTTTCTCATTTTATGTGGTCACTTATGAATTTGAATGCTATTTTGTATTTAAATTTTCTCTCGAGCTAGTTTTGTAAGCTTACAGGTCATATATAACTGATACTACTCCCCATAATGGCTTCCGTAGTGGCCCAGTGATTGATTTACCGAGTTCATAAAACTGATCGAGATCAGGTCCAAAAAAGATCAAAACCTCATGAATTGGAAACAAGATCCTTGTTTAATTAGTTTCCATCAGGAAATTGCCTACTTAATTACTTGCTATCAATCATTTGAGGATGTCATGTTCCTCACAAATGGATCCAGATCACAATTGTTGATGAAATTAACATTTTTAGCAATTCATAAAACCGTGCATAGATGTACAGGGTTGCACGTACGCACGTACATAATACACCTAAATAAAACATATATTCGTAGAGCAATTGAGTTTGGACTGTGCATTTCTTTGGCCATAAAGGCCGGAAAGTTGTTCTCTTCCATTGCCTAAAAAAAATAGAACAGTTACAATCAAGTGCACCACCGAATGAAAACGGGTCAATTTCTGGTTAATAAGAGACCAACTATACTTCATAAACAGGGAATATCAAGTACATATCTGCTACCCACAAGAAAAGTACATAACTGCACTCTTATGATTATTTTCCTCTTGATCTTCAGGTGCCATTCTGCGGGGGCGCATTCACCAACACTATTACCAATGCAACGATCATGACTATTGATACAGAGATGATGGTGGGAGCTGCCCATAATCCGATGATGCAGGAGAGACAGGCGAAGGTGATGAGGTACAGGGAGAAGAGGAAGAGGCGGCGATATGACAAGCAAATCCGCTACGAGTCCAGAAAAGCGTACGCCGAGCTCAGGCCACGGGTCAATGGCCGCTTTGTCAAGGTACCTGAAGCCGATGTGTCTCCATCACCCCCAGCTTCGCCCTATGATCCTAGTAAACTTAACCTCGAATGGTTCCGGTAGTGTTTCATCAAAGTAAAATAAGTTGGTTATTGATTGACCGGTTGGAGGAGTTATGTTGATTAACTATTTCAAAAGGTCAGCGGACCAATCAAAGGAAATGTATTTATTGAAACAAGTATTATTATGCTTTATGTTAATTTAAGCATGTAATTTGAGGAGGCTAGCTACTTATTAGATGTGTATTTATTGTATGCAACCGATTGAATCAATTCATCACCAACTCAAAGTTAAATACAGACGAGCTTTTTTATGTATAAAGTTGTTATTTTATCTTGAGGACTTCTCTAGGGTGGAAAACGGATTGGGAGTTATGAGTAAACCATCGCGGCCACCAAATATGTACAATGCTTATTTGAGAGAGAAAATTCTATTTCATTCACCAAATATGAGTTGAACCTTGTAACCACATGTATATTACAAAGCTGTGTGTCAGCTAACTAATTTGAGGCCCTATCATAGGTAAAATACCTCCAATATGTACGAATGAGGCACTTTAATAAAATATGTCACGTTGCATGGAAAACTGTAAACATGTCAAGACACCATAATAGCTGCAAATCATCGAAAGCTTGTGTACTATATTATAATTATGAGTTCCTTATGCTGTTGCATGTACTTATTGAAGTGATCCTTCATCTATGAGGTAAGTTTGTACATTCAATCGTCCGCTTAACCTCACCAATATAGATAGCCAGTTAATTAGTTTGGCCATCGTTTAATCGATCATGTGTATGTGTGCGTCCATAGTGTCACCGCCTTTATCACTGGGAGATATATGAAGATTGGGAGATGGCACACGAGTGGCAGCCTCCAAGCTCAAGCTGGTGCAAACCAGATCAGCTATACAAGATAACAATGTCTGTCCAAGATAAAGGGATGCTATTGTTGACTACCATGATCCAACAAGTTGCTAAATACTAGTTGTCATGAGATCTATTAAGTCCAATGCTCGATGAAAGTGATTATATTAATTGTTTGTTCCTTAATTCATGGGCGAATCTAGGGGTGCCATGGGTGAACCCAAAGTAAGTTTAGCTATATACTTAACACTAATTATCTAATAAGTTAATGCTATTTATAACTATTTGTTGATACCATGATAATGTTTAGAATAAATTATATTATGGAGTGTAAATTTTCACAATATTGTAGTAGCGGCACCCTGATGTTAAGATCCTAGGTCCATCACCACCTTAATTAATAGCAAATCCCCTGAACAAGTTACTTGGTTGTTCCATCTTGTAAGCGTGTATCAGTTAACCGCGGTTCAGTGGGATGAAAACTATTTTCCATGTTCACCGCTAACCACTTGAGTTACCAAGGGCTTTTGATGAGAACAAGCCCTACCCTAGTAATTTGAGCCACTGAAATGCGGCTTGTTTTTTTTCTTTTGAGTCGGAAGTGCGGTTAGCTAATACTCCTTACAAGATAGAACTTTCTTCTTGTCAAATACAACATTATTTCTGCATACCTAAATTGGCCAAAGACGCATGGAGCCACGCGCATAACAAGCAATTGTAAAACTTATCTACCCCTTGCATAGAACTCAAGGTAAGACTTTAATTCTAAGCAATGATTTGAGCCACCGACATAGAAACCAAGGGAACACTTTAATTTTAAGTGGTGATTTGAGCCGCGGTAACCGTTTTGACATGAACCGGACCCACTCATCCAATAATGCGTGTGGCCTAAATGTGTATTCTTGCTATGGACTGTGCTGTCTGTTGCTGTCTGCATCATATGACCAAAATATTCTCTATCTAGTTCACATGAACTTGCCGGTGGGCATCCATACACGTATACATCCATCAGAATAAAGAATACTCCACTTTTCTTTCTTTTTGTAGCATAGCGTTTGCTTCTACTTCAGGGAAAAAGAAGAAGATGAATCGTTTGTGCGGTGGACTGAGATAGCTTAGATGCATGGATCAATCAAGTGAAGTGAGGCTGCAAGGTGTGGTGATGCTTGGATCGGCCACGCGCGGTACTCCAACGAGCTCTGGGTTGTGTGGACTGTCTCGCTTCGCTTTACGCAGAGGAAAAGGCGTGGGATTCCAGTGCTCCATGCATGGCTCCAGACTCTCCCACTGCTTCTTGCACTTTTCGCCGGCACCCAGAATGACATGTATCAGTGTTAGTTATTGGTTGATGCATCTTAATGTTGCTCCTTTTCCTGTGCTCCACACGTACTAGATAGATAGATCCTGAAAACGACTCTGCTGCCGGTGACATATTGATTTATGGATCAGAGTAGGTCACACCACAATTGGATTGATCGAGAGATATGCCCAACTTCCAATGACCATCAAGATACATATATGACTCCATGTCATTGATCATTGTGCGTGCATGATATACCAAACATGATTAAATTGACTGGTTAACGTCCTCATCTGATTTAATTGTGAAATTAATATATTAATCCACAACTATATAGGTTCATTGGCTGGCCTAGATTATTTTTGAATGATATATTGTTTTTATTTTTAAAAAAGAGGTTAATCCAGCTGCATGTTTACTCTTTTGCAGTTTTTCACTGGAGCTCGAGGAAAAGTGAAAAGGCAAAAGATGGAGCAAGAGCAATGACTTCAAAGAAATTTGATGATGTTCTTTAGTTGTGCTAGAGGTCTTTGTTGTCCATGTTTGGTTTCTTTGATCCGATGTAAAAAAATTTTATCTCATGACTAAAGTCATGTCGTTTTCTGAAAAATAAGTACGACGACTATGTAGACACATTCAATTGTCTTTTAAAAAAAACTCAAATTTTAGTCATTTGCAATAAACATTACATCGTTTGTGAGCATTGGTACAATTTTACGGTGTGGCTCCTCGAACCATTCAGAAATTAAAGAAAAATCTAGCCGATCTAGCAATTTCGTGAGCAACTTTATTTGCTTCTATTACATTGCTCGAATCGAAATAGGAAAATCACAAGCTAAGTGAAAACAATCATTAATAATTGCAGCCGATGCCCTTGGCGATTGTCTCCTTCCTTCATGGCATCAATCACCTCCATGTTATCCATGTTAATAATAATGCGGTTGAATCCTGTCCTTTGCATCAATGTTAGACCAAATTTTACGGCCAGAGCTTCACCCATCAATACATCCGAGCACGAGTCTATCTTGCCATTTCCCCAGCAATAAATCTGCCCTTGTCATCTCTTAGGACTGCCCCCATTGTGCCACTAAGTAAGTCATGGTCAAAAGAAGCGTTAACGTTAAGTTTAACAAACCCCGCTGGAGGGCATAACTAGCCCCCTTTTTTCATGGAAACCTTTGGAGAGGAAGTGGTAACAAAATTGGCCGTAAGAGCCTGGATGCCCATAGAGATCTTGTGTGCATTTTGAGTAGTCTCCTTGTGAACCAATTTATGTCTTTCACACCACAAGTACCACGCTGATATGGCGATCATTTTACGTACATTCTGGTTGCCCATAATGCACAACTCCTGAGTTGGCAGTAAAAGTAAATATTCTAAAACCGCCTCTCCCACACGATCTACTTCACAAGCTTTGTCGATAATATCATTCTTCCCCAGCCTTCTCCGAAATTCTCTTACTCTGTTGCATAGAAATAGCAAATGCTTTGTGTCTTGTGGTCCAGACGAGCAGACATGGCAAATGGACGAGACTTTCACATGTATATTGCCTAGCGCAACACGGCACAGGAGAGTGTCGTGTAGGGTATGTCAAATAAATATTTTTACCTTTGCCAGAAAAGAAAGTTTCCGTATCGTACAGTAAATAGGATTAACTATGGTATACCCATCCCATTGGTATGTCGCGGTTTATTTCCACGTTGATAGTCCCATTCCACAAGATAAGCAGACCGAACCGAAAACATACGTTTTTTGTGAAATTCCAAACGACGAAATCTAGCAAATCATGTTGCGAGTTAGGGACCGAGAGTACTCGTTGAACATCAATAGGCCACAGGGTTTGTTGGAGCAGATATTCATCCCAAGTATTAAGAACTTGGTTAATCAAATCTGCTATCTTAGATAACAACTGACCCCCACTAGGGGGTAATAATTTTTCAATTTGCACAATATATAATCCAAGCATCCTCCCAAATATTAATATTCAGATCATTCCTCACTCAAAAAACAGCCACTTTTTAGAGAACTCACACCCGCCATAATACTTTGTCAGGTGAAAGGAGAACCCTTCTAGGGTATTATCTATTTGAAAACCCATTCCTCCTTGATTCTTGGGTACAAATATTTTCCATCAAGCCAACCAATGCATCCTCCTCTGGTTTTTCTCGTCTGCTGACCAGAAATACTTAATTGATTGTATTGTTAAGAAAATTAGTAGTTGGAAGGAAAAACATCTTTCAGTCGGAGGAAAGAAAATTCTTCTCAAAGTTGTTGTTCAAGCCATACCCACTATGCAATGTCGGTCTTTAAAATTCCTAAAATGACGTATTTCCTTGTCATTTTAGAACACTTCTGCTTCTGTACAACCTCTTAAATAGATCAATGGACGAGATCTCTCTACACCCCTTCGTAATAAAGGATAGGATGGTCTTTTTAAAAAATATGTCACCCGTCGGAACGTATACGTACGTAAACCCCCTCCGTAATGGGCCGGCCCATTTTACCTTTTATTTTTCTATTAACCTGCAAATAAGTGTGTGGGATCTGATTCAAACCCATGACCTCCTCGTTGAGTGTTCGCTGCAGTAGCCAACCAGACAACTCACCTGATGCAAATATACATCCTTTTTTTCTGTTGTGTCTCACTGAATAAGGAGGTCGCAGGTTTACATTTTTTGCTGGTTTCGTTTGGCCGAGGAGGTCGCGGGTTTTGTTTTTCATTTATTCTGGCTTTGTTTGGTCGGTTTTTCTTTTTCTTTATTTTTCCATTTTATTTTTCTTTTATTAAAATACATGAATTTTTAAAAATTGATGAACCTTTTCAATTTCATGATTTTTTTGAACCTCTAAACTTCTTTCAAATCCATGAACTCCTTTCAGTTTTCATGAAGTTTTTTCCA